GGTGGGGTGGGGTTAAATTTTAAATTCAAGGATAGTGTTTGATGTATTGGGATTCTGTGATTGTTTATGCAGCAAGAACTGAGTTCATTGAAGATCTCTCTACCTTCGTAAGTCCAATTTGTGTTTTATCCACTTCATTGTTTTGTGCTTTTGATATCTTTCTTAAAAACATAAGGATTTAAGTTATATGCGCTGACAATGTATAGATTTTTCTAGTTATTGTTTCGGGAATTTTAACCTGTGATAGCAAGTTGTTGACGAAGTAAGTTAATATCATTGATAGAGCATCGGAAAGATGCAAAATTACAAACAAAAAATAAAAAAAAATAAAAAAATTAACACGTTAGCTCCAGTACAAGAGTGTCTATACTAGGATTAGGGAGCTAACAAAGTCCAAAAAGTCGCCAACAATATTTACAGGGGTAAGAAAATTCCAACTGAGCAAACTAATTAAGCATCTAACCTGTGATATCAAGTTAGGTACCATTTTTTGCCAGATTTCTAACACCTATTAACTGACCTGATTGTGTAAATATGGAATATTTTCATTACAATTTCTGATTCCATGATGCAGACACTTGGTGGTGACGTCCGGCCTCTAAATTTGCTGCCTCAGGTATCAATTGTAATTCTAATTGAGGATTTCTCGTTCCTCTTTGATTGACCAATACGATTGCCAGTTCTTAACTTTCCATGTGTACTAATACTGGTAGGAGTCATCCACATTGCTCAAAGAACCACCGGGCAACGTATATTCAGAAAATTCAAGCCTTTCCCTTTCCAATACCTCAGACACTTTAAGCAGCGAGGATGCTCGTAAAGCAAGACAACTAACTGAAGGTTTCTGTTCATTTATGTCTCTGTTTTTTGAAGTTTGAACTTAGAGGTTTAGCATGAAGTCAACTTGATCAGGTTTCACGTTGCTTCCATAGTTTTTGAATTGATTATCTAAAATATATGATCTTCATTTAGCAGAATCAATGAAGCACCAAGCTGCTACTGGAAACAGCAACGATGGAATAGAAGTGGCTATGAATGGAAATCGCATAAGTCAGGTTACTGATAGCTTGCATGAACCGCATCAAATGGACAAAACTTCACTGGAACTTGTATCAGCTGAGAGAAGTGAAGGCAGAGCAACAGACACTAGCTCAAAGAAGAAGACAAGTCCAACAGATTCTAGCCACACCTCGGATACCACATCTGCGAAAACGGTAATTACCTTATATATTTTCTGCTTCTGCGACTATCTGAATTGGCAATGTGCAGCTATTTGAATGTTTTGTAGTATTTTTTGTTCTTTGTTTCAAACATTCATATGTTGACACTGTGACATCATAATAGTTCTCTTTACTGTCCTTATAAAAAAAATTGTCTCTTTATTGTCTGAATCTAGATTTGATCTATATGGTGCACTTTGTCTTAGAATCTTTTTTACTGCATATAGGATAAGTAAAATTAAGGCAAAATATATGCCGTGCAAATTTTGTAAGTTTATACTCCGTAAGAAGAATGGCGGTGAAATTAGACGGGAATTGGGATTGCTGTGCTTAAGTATTGATAGAAGAAGATGCAAGTATGCAACAAATTGAACTTAAATTGGATGGTCCATATAAAAGAAGAAGAATTAAAATAAGATTGCTGAAATGGAGGAGTCCGAGTGGAGTGTTATGCAATAGAAAGCATCTTAACAAAGTGAACACCAAGTTGTATTGAACAAGTGTGATACCAACAAAATTATGTGGCAGTAAAGTTGGGCTGCTGTAGCCTAATATGCTGCAGAAGATGAATGTCGTAAAAATGCAAATGTTAAGACATATGTGCTGTCATACAAGATTGAATAATATTCGAAATGATCACATCCGATATATGGTGCAAATAGAGAATAAAATGAGACAAGGTTGTCTTTGATGATATCCTACCAGACTTTATGTGCACCGGCATAGGTGTGAAAATATGAAATGTGATTGAAGGGGACGAGGTAAACTTAAAATGACATAGGTGAAAGAAAGTTTCTCCGAAAGTTCTAAGATCTCTTGGTCAATGCAGATTTGACTAAGAATAGAACAACAAAGTGAAAGGAAAGGATCCATGTAGCCAATACCAAATTTGTTGGATTTAGGAGATATTATTATACTTAAATTAAGTTCGGTGTTTGTCGCTGTGTTGCTAAAGGCGTAAAGCGTACAGGTTTATGGGGCTTTTTGCAGAAAGCGCAATCAATGCATTAGCTGTAATAAAGAAAGGCACGATGAAGAAAAAGTATGTGTGTAACCTAAGGAAAAAACTATGGAAAAACATTTTTAACTGCAATTAAGTGAAATATATTGAACGGAAAAGTGAAAACATGTATTTTTAAATTCAAAAACCTATTTAACTTTTGAGTTAAATGCAAAATACAGTATTAAGTTTCTAATTCAGGTTAAGTGACTTAAAAAAAAATTAAATTCCTAAACCCTTTTCCTAATAAGTAATAAATGCATTCATAACATCTCCAAAAAGATTAACATATCTATTTTACCTGTTGTGTTTATTGTTCATTGTCTCTCTTTTCAAGATATAGCCAATGGATGATGAGACACATGCCTTAGCGCTTTGATACCAGCACTGTAGGGCCACCTGAGCATGGCGAAGCGCCCAATTTGAGCTACACCTAGATTCAGGGATTAAGCATGCTTGTTTATTGGATGTTTTTTTTTTCTGATTAGAGACCTGTATGCCCCTGTGGGATATGTGTGGAATTTGGATAATTTCCAGTTTTATATAATTAATAATTTGCCAGACAAAATTGTTTAGTGGTGGAAAGAATGGATTTAAATACAAAAGATACGATTACGATACACAAGATTCATATATAGCTGATCCCTACTAATTTAATGTATGATTGTGTGACAAGGGACAATGTGCTATATTCTATCAAAAATAATATGATTTTGGTGGATTGCACATTATTAGTAAATATGCAATAATTGGCTTGGGATTCCTAGATGATAACTGACCCTTATACATGAGCTGAACTTGCTTATGTTTGGGTTGGTTTCTAGGAAATAAGGCAGGATCAACGTACTGTTCAAACCAGTGGTAGAGTTGTATCTGGAGAGACAGCAGGGGGCAAAGGTGAAGAGCAGAATGCACAAGTGGTTCCTCCTGATGCTCGTGTTCGCCAGCTTAAAGATCAGCTCATTAGGGGGAAGGTCTACCTTTCACTCTCAGCAACACGAAACAACCCCCACTTCATTAGAGAACTTCGCTTGCGGATTAAAGAAGTACAACGAGCACTTGGTGAGGCCAGTAAGGATTCCGAGCTGCCAAGGAAGTAAGTCTTCTTTTAGACGACTAAGTTCATCTTCTGTTTTCAAAATGGCTTTCAGGTGGTCCTGACTCCTGATTCTCCAGTGATTTTGCCATTTAACTGTATAATTAATGTCTAAAAGCTTGGTCCATGTTATTGATTTATCTTCCAATACAATTGTGATTTCTCTATATAGTGCCTATGAGAAGTTGAAGGCGATGGAGCAAACATTGGCCAAAGGGAAGCAAATTCAAGATGATTGTGCTACTATAGTAAAGAAGCTTCGCGCTATGCTTCACTCAGCAGAAGAGCAGCTTCGTGTCCACAAAAAGCAAACATTGTACTTAACGCACTTAACTGCTAAGACACTCCCTAAGGGTCTGCATTGTCTTCCCTTGCGCCTTTCAACAGAGTATTTCAGGTTAAATTCTTCCCAACAGCGATTTCCAAATCAAGAGAATTTAGAAGATCCCAAGCTGTATCACTATGCACTCTTCTCAGACAACATTTTAGCAGCTGCGGTCGTCATAAACTCAACTGTTTCCCATGCAAAGGTAAATGATCTATTGTCTGAAACTTACATGTATATTGAGCTTGCTGTTGGCTCAGAACAATATAATTCACTTTATCTTTTCCAATTCTTTTCTTCTATGATTATGGAGAAAATATGCCCATCTGCCTGTTTGAGTTTACAATAACTCAACCTTTATGTGTCTCTTCAGGGACATCCAACAAAATTGGAAATAAACCTTTATGTATAACTTTTTCTGCATGTGGTGGCAGGATCCTTCAAAGCACGTTTTCCATATAGTAACAGACAGGCTTAATTATGCTGCAATGAGAATGTGGTTTTTAGCAAATCCACCGCAGCATGCTACAGTAGACGTCCAAAATGTTGAGGAATTCACCTGGCTAAATTCAAGTTACAGTCCAGTTCTGAAGCAATTGGCTTCTCAGTCCATGATAGATTATTACTTCAGGAGTCGTGCTGATTCTGATCCGAATGTGAAGTTTAGGAATCCAAAGTACCTTTCAATCATGAATCATTTACGTTTTTACTTGCCGGAGATATTCCCAAAGCTGGATAAAGTTCTCTTCTTGGATGATGATATTGTTGTGCAAAAGGATCTTAGTGGCCTATGGTCTCTTGATCTTAAGGGTAAGGTGATTGGTGTGGTTGAGACTTGTGGAGAAAGCTTTCATCGATTCGACCGCTACCTCAACTTCTCAAATCCTTTGATCTCCAAACATTTTGATCCCCGTGCTTGTGGTTGGGCATTTGGAATGAACATCTTTGATCTAAATGAGTGGAGGCGGCAAAACATCACAGAGGTGTACCACTCATGGCAAAACCTGGTATGAGATAAATTCTTCCCCGTTGTTTATGTCTGGATTTGTATGTTAAATTAGCATCATTTTGTATTTATATAATTTGATGTGCTGTGCTTAGTCATAATGAAACCCTGGAGCAACACTGTCATTATTTCGTTAAGTATCAAATCATTTTCTCCCTCAGGGCAGTTTCTCTTTCCCAGAAAATAGGTCACATTCACATTTGAGGC